CGTGTCTCCGTGTTGNGTTTGCTGCCGCTGCTGGCTGTGCCGCTGACATGCCTTCATTCTTCCTCTTCTTCTTCTTCCATCTAGAGGCACCGGTAGTTCACGAGCAGGATTCTTCAGGTTTTCCGCAGCGATGGCACGGGAGTGACGGGGTGTCCGCCCGCCGCTTTGAAGGCACCCGCTGCGGAGGGAGAGAATGTGCGGGGTGTGCGGCGTGTCTTGCTGCGAGTGTGTGGGGCACCACCCATCGCAGCCTGCAGTGCGGCGTGGTGCGGATCGGTGAGGGCAAATATGCGGCAGCGGCAGACTGTGCGGTGGACGTGGATCTGCCCGGTCCTTCGCGTTGCGGGTGTGTGGGTGCGCTGTGCGGCTTGCTTCTCCTCCGCGTGTCTTTCGCCCTTGCACGGTGGGAGCGTAGTGGTTCGCCTTTGCGGTGTGACGTCTGCCGCGGTGTGTTTTGGGGTGCGACTCCGAGTTATTCGTCTGTCGTCGTCACGGGGGTGCAGAGGCGGCGTGGCCATCGGTGCCGTGGTGTTTTGGTTTTGTGCTGCTCACGCGACGTGTTGGAGCCGCTGCTTTCGAGTGGGCGTGTGCCTGGTGCAGCTGGCCGCCGTGTGAGAGGCGTGGGGAAGTGCGGCCCGTTTCGCGCCCAACGGATGCAGGTGACGGCGTCGCAGCAGCCGCGGTGGAGGGGCTGACGGGGAGTTTCCGCCGTTGGGGGCGCTCGGTGTGTGTTGCCGCGTGGCAGCCAAACCGGCCGTGGTGGTTTCTGCTGCTTGCTGCAGTTGTTGTGCTTTCAGTTTTTCCTCCTCTTCTCTGCTTGTGTGTCTCAGTGCGCCCGAGCTGCGGCGGGGAGCACTGCGGGGTTAGTGATGATGACGGTGTGTGGACCCAACTGTGGGTGCGGGCGGTGCACATTGCTTCATTCTTTTCTATTTGCCCTGTTTGCTCCTCCTCACTTTTATTGTTCACACACACACGCGGAAGGAAAGAGAACAAACGCTACTTGCTACTGTGCACATTGAAAGGCCCTGCAGTCACCACCAGCACCACACACACACACGCAACTGTCGCGGCCTGAGCGGATCCACCACACGGAGGGAAGAGAGTGTGAGAGAGCAGCGACACATGCCCAAGATGTCCTGGCATTTTTTTTCTTATTCGCTGCTGCTGCTGCTGTTTGTACTCTTGACATGCTGTGGCAGTCAAGCTGCGGGGAGTGCCCCAGGGACGGCCATTAATTTATTTACAGGGACGACACCGATAACTGATGCCAAATGGGAGGAAATGCAATGCGTCGAAGGGTCATTTCGCTCGCTGCGTGTCCCCAGCCTTGTGGAGGTGGACGGTGCTGTGTTTGCCGTTGCTGAGGCCCAGTGCAAGAATGGAAGCGTTAGCTTCAGTGGCATCGTGTCACAGCACCTCAAGGGAATTGGAACAGAACCGAGTGAGATTCCGATGGGTGCAGGCACAGGTTCCTTTCACACGCAGCTGCTGAAGGAAGGTGGTAACGAAATGAGGGATACAGTGCGACCAACGACAATTGTGAATGACAACAATGTCTATGTGCTGCTGGGAAGCTGCAGCCGTGCAACACCGGAGAGCAAAGAGGCTGATCGAAGTGGATGTAAGCTTTTGCTGGTGAAGGGGAGTGTCACTGACGGTGGAGAGAAGAAAGTCCAGTGGGGTGAGCCGCATGCGGTGGAAATTCAGCTCGGAAAGCTTGCTACACCCGGGACTTATGCCTCTGCTGTCGGAGGGTCGGGTACTGTGATGAGTGACGGCACACTTGTGTTTCCCATGCAGGCCACAAAGAGTGGAAATACCTTTTTGCTGTCCGCGCACTTCACCCCGTCAGAGAATGAATGGGAGCCTGTAGTCGATATGGTAGGTGAGGGTTGCAGCGATCCATCGATTGTGGAGTGGGACGATGTTTATGAACTACGCATCTTCATGATAACTCCCTGCAAGCGTCGTTCCTATTACATGTACAAGACTTCATCTTTCTACTATTGGCCGGGCGGTGAACCAATTTCCCGCGTGTGGGGCATCTCACGTGATAGAAAAAGGGAGGGCGTGCGAAGTGGCTTCATCACTGCAACCATCGATGGAAAGAAGGTGATGCTGCTTACCATGCCGGTGTATTCTGAGGAGAAGGGAGAGGGTCGGCTGCATCTTTGGGTGACAGACAATGCCCGTATGCACGACGTTGGACCGATGTCTCGCGAAGGTGATGACGCCGCCGCCAGCTCCCTGCTGTACAGAAGCGGCAAGAAGGAGTTGATTTTACTGTACGAGAATAAGAAGAGCGGAGATTCATACAGTCTTGTCGCTGTGAACCTGACTGAGCAGCTGAAGCAGATAAAGAGCGTGGTGAAGGCCTGGAAAGATATGGACACCGCACTCAAAAACTGCGCTTCCACTGGCACTGTTGACCCGCGGATAAAGAATGTTTGTAAAAGTGCTGTTCCCACCAAAGGGCTGGCTGGCTTTTGGTCCAGCAGTTTGGAGGGGAATTTATGGAAAGACGAGTACCTCAGAGTGAACGCAACGGTGCATGGTGGGAATGTGGCAGGCACGGAGGGGGGCGTGAGGTTCCGAGGCGCAGCAGCGGGGGCGGAGTGGCCGGTGGGCAAACTGGGGCAATTCCAGCCGTACTACTTTGTGAACAATGACTTCACTCTTGTGGCGACGGTGATGATTAATGTGGTGCCGGAGACAGAGGGTCCTGTTCCTTTGATGGGTGTGAGGATGAATGACGATGCCAGCACTGTGCTTGTTGGTCTCTTCTACACGAAGGACAATAAGTGGGGAGTGATTGTCAACGGAAACTCTCGGGGGTTGTCAGATGAAGATGGTACGTGGCAGCCTGGCACAACGTATCAAGTGGTACTGAAAAAGCTTAGCGAATCGTTGTATGTGTACGTTGACAATAATGAGCTTTTTAAGGAGGATGTTGCACCCTTTGAGTACACCCCACGCGGTGTGTTGGACTTCTACGTTGGCGGCGACAGTGCGAAGGGGACAGGCGAGGTTGACGTGACGGTGGGCAATGTCCTGTTGTACAACGAGGCACTGGGTGATAATAGGCTCACGAGCCTCAGTGTCAGCAAAGTCACACTTCCAACACCGGCTGCTGAGGGGCCACTCACAACGCTGGGGAATGATGGGGAGATTGCCTCCAAGATGAAACCTGGAGAAAAGAGGGTTGGTGACGGTTTGAATCCTAAAGGACCTCTACCAGAGGAGGCCCATAAAGGCAATCACAGTGCTGCTGAGG